GCAGCTAATTCAGGTGGAGGAGACTCGGGGAAGGCTTCCTGGAGGAGGTGACATGTCAGCTGAAACCTGGAGGAAGAGTAGGATTTGGCTAGATGGGGAGGGTTGAAAGGCTGAGAGAATAGCATATGCAAAAGCAGAGAGGCTTACAAAGAAGAACATCCTGGAAGGAAAGCATGGCCAGGGCCTAGCAGGTTTACAGAGAATTGGAAAGAGAGGAGGCCTGCAGTGTAGACCACACCTCCATCAGCTCCGTAATTGCCACTGATCCAGTAACTACATGGGGGGGGGGGGGGGGGGATGTGAGGAGTGCTGCACAATTCACTCCTGGGAAGGTGACTTCACCAGCACACTTGTAGATGATGGAGCAGCATTCCCCCACTTTACAGCCTGAAGGCACACATTCGTTGTGGGAAGGAACCCACAGTGATGGGTGGGTGGGCCATGCTCCATAGGGCAGTACAGTCTTTAGAGGCCTCCTCCCAAGCCTCTGCCCACTTTGATCCCCCTTCCTCAAATTTGGCTCCATTGCACCCCAGTAGGGCTACCCCAAAGCTCGCATTTGATGGATCTCCAAGAAGCTCAGGGAAAGAACCTACTAGGCACTGGGTATTCTATCATTGTTATCACCTTTAAATCCTCCCAAACAATCTTCTGAGGCCTGGGCTCATGGTCCCATTTCACAGATGAGGGCCAGGAAAGTGAAGTAATTATTGGGCCCCAGGTCACCAGTGGAATGCGTGTTTAGGGTTCAGGTTCATGTAGGCAACAGAGAGGCTGAGCTTGAAGCCTCTGGACTGGTGATCTTGGACAATTAGCACTTCTTTCACCCTCCATTTCACACGCATCTGTGGGTGCGATGGTGCTGCTCCCGGCTGCGGGGAGGCCTGGCTGAGACATGAGCCTAAAGCACGGAGCATGGAGACTACACAGCAGCTCAGTGGTCATCAAACACGAGCCTGGCTCTCCCCACACGCCCTGCCAGTACCCACTTGCCCGAGGCCGGGACTGAGGTTGGATTGAATGTGAACTCTCACTGCACTCACAGTCCCAGGCACGGGCTTGTGCTGCCTGAGCGCTGGGTTTGGTCAGAGTCCAAGATGACCGTCCTCTCCAGCTCAGCAGGGACTCCAGGGAGACCCACAGCCCCGTTGCCCTCTGGGCACCTCAGAAATGCCCCCCATGAGGTCCCTTTCTGCTAGTGATGGGCTCAGAGCCAGGCCCCAGTGGCCCAGAGAGACCACCGGGGCTTCCGGAGGCCCCGGCCGAAAAGCAAGGGATTGAAAGTCCTGCTGTGTCTCCAAGCAAGATCCCCAACTTTCCTGCGCCCCCGTTTCTTCACAGTGGCAGGAGCTTCATTGCCCCATGAAGTCCACAGGGCGTGGGGGTGATCTATTTCCTCCTCAACAAATACAGGGCAGGGCAAAGGCAGGTTTACAGTTGTTCACCCGGAAAATAACACAATAAATAATAATACAAGAATAAACTCTTGTTTTGTGTACTCCGGATTGTAAACCTCCTTTTGCCCCACCCTGTATTTAGACACTGTGCTAGATGCTGGAGAGAGAGCGGAAAACAAGACATTGCCCTGCGGAAGCTTCCATCCTCTGGTGCCTCTGTTTCCCCATTTATTAAATGGCAATTATCATAGTCCCATCAGAAGGCTGTAAGAATTAAATTAATGAAAATATGTAAAGCGCTTAGTACGGGGGCTGGCACTTAAGAAGTGGCCCCACAGCCCTAGCAGGTTTGGCTCAGTGGACAGGGCATCGGCCTGCGAACTGAAGGATCCCAGGTTCAATTCCGGTCAAGGGCACATGCCTGGGTTGTGGGCTCAATCCCCAGTGGGGGACTTGCAGGAGGCAGCTGATCCGTGATTCTCTCCCATCATGGATGTTTCTATCTCTCTCTCCCTTCCTCTCTGAAAGCAATAAAAATATATTTAGAAGAAGAAGAAGAAGAAGAAGAAGAAGAAGAAGAAGAAGAAGAAGAAGCAGCCGCCCCACAAACTTCTATTGTTCTGAGCGGTCGCATTGCCCTTCTCCGGGTTATAAGGATTAGGTGAGGTCAGACAGGTAAAGCACCGGGGTGTGCCTGGCCCTCAGCAAGCATGGAAAGAATGACAGCTGTCTCCTCAAAGGTTAGTCAACATAACCACCCCGTTTTAGGGAGCAGGGAATTGAGGCTGAGAAGTTAAGTGACCTCCCCAAGTCTCACCCTGGCTAGTGGGAAAGGCTCTTGAGGCCACTCTGAACCGGGATTTCTCAGCCTCGGCACACGTGGGGCTGGACCATTCTGAGTTGTGGGGCTAGCAGCATCCCTGACCTCTACCCACTAGATGTCCACAACTCCATCCCCTCCCACATTGTGACAGCCAGAAATGTCCCCAGACATTGCCAAATGTCCCCTGGAGGGCAAAGTTGCCCCCTGTTGAAAGCACTGCTCTACGCGGCCCCTGGAGCTTCTATTTCGAGAACTTCCAGGATCTGACCTGCAGCCTCCCCCCCCTGCAACCCCGGCAGCACCATAAACCCCCTATTCCAGCCACCCCCAAGGACCTGCCCTTTCACAAGCAACCCCCAAACCGGCCAGCCTCTGCTCGTGGTCTCCCCTACACCGAGACTGCCCCTCCACCCCACCCCCATCTCCAAGGCCCAGCCCAAGTCCCTCCTGCTCACTGAATGGCCTCTCTGCCCCAGAACTCACCATTTGGTGCCTAGCCCTTCATTTTGTATCACAATTAGTCATGAACTCGCCTGTCCTTGCCTGCTTCCTTGTCCCTAACGTCCACCCTGACCCCAGACAGAAGCAACTTGAGGGCAGGGGCTGTGCCTAACTCATCCTTGTGCCCCCAGCACCCAGCACAGGGCCAGGCACACAGGGCTGGCTCATTGCTCTGTGCATGTGGCATATCACAGGTGTGCCCCGTGCCCGCGCAGCCTCTGGGGTGCGGGTAAAAGGCCCCCAGGCTTGGGAACAAGGCTGGGGTTCAGGCGGGTTCATAAAGAGGGTGAGCCGGACTTGGGCTGCTTTCACTTCCAGCTTTACTCACACCCTGTAGGCCTGTTTCTTCCTATGTGCAATGGTGTAACGTATAGTGTCCCTGGTTGGTAGATCGCTGTGAGAATTAACAAGTGCTCCTGACTCCTAATGCAGTGCTCCCTGGGATCAGGACGCTCCTGCCCAAGTTCGGGGGGGCGGGGGAGGGCGGAGTGGGGGGGTGCTGACGTGGGAACTTCAGGGAGGACCCAGGGGCCGCCGCAAACCAGGATGTGAAAGGCCCCGGGGGGGCAGGGAGGGCGGAGGCGGGCGGGGAGGCCGCTGGGGAGGCCGCCAGACCCAGTAAATAATTCACACGGATGAACTGGAGATCAGTGCGGCTCCGCGGGGGATCGAGTTCAGGTCGGAGGCGGCCTGGCGCTGCGGGGGACGGCGGCCCCCCGGGCTGGGAAGGGGAATGAACGCGGCTCCGCCCGCCTGGGAAACGCGGCCCCAGGTGCCCGCTCGCGGCCACTCCCTGTCACTGGCGGGAGCTCCCCGGAACTGCCCCGCGGGGCCACCGGCCTCGGCGCGCCGCCTCCGCCCAGCCGTCCCCATAGCAACCGCTGGCCCGGTCCAGGGTTCACGGCCAACCGGATCCTCAGCCTCCCCGCCCCCACGGGAGGATGGGCGTTTGGGGCTCTGCACGCTGCGCGCTGAGCTGCCAGAGGCGGTGGAAAGCTGTCCAGTCCCACGCCCCCTCCCTCCGTGGGAGCCGTTGGAACCTGGGGCCCTTGGGGTCAGCAACCCGGGGTGCCGAGCCCAGCTCCACTCTCGAGCTGTGCGACCTTAGGCAGGTGACTTGGCTGCTCTGTGCCCTGTGTCCCTTGCCTGTAAAATGGGGGTGATAATGACAGGAACCCCCTGATCGGGCTGTTGTGAAAATTGCATGAAATGAAGGCAGAGTGTAGAACATTTACCAGCCTAGAGCGAGCACCTCATAAATAGTATTTTACACTTCGGGAAACGGAGCCCCAGGGAGGCAAAATACCTGCGGGGTGACACGCACATGAGGTGTTTACGCACAGTTGGGAGTGGAACGCACTGGCCCATCCGTTCGGAGACACCCACCGGGAATGCTGGTGACACCTATTAGGGTTCCCCAAGGGCTTCCTAAGCTTCCTGGGCACCCCTCTTCCTGACCTCTGGGAGCTTCCCTGTCACTGAACGGTCAATGACCAGGCAGTGAGGTCCCCCAAAGCCCGAAAAGGCCTTGCTTTAGCAAGCCCTATCTCCCCAGTGCCCACCCCACCCCACACCTGACGGGACACGTCCTTGAATGAATATGGATTTATTTAATTCATTGATTACTTAGCTGATTTCCTCTTCCCAAACACCCTTCCCAACCAAACTCTTTCATACCTTAGCCACCCACTTTCTGCCTTACAGGACACCCCTTTCCTTAGCGACTTCCTGTCCTCACTGTCGGCCCCCCACCGACCCCGCCCCCATCACCACTCCGTTAGGGTTTCCCATGGCACATTTCCCGGGTCCCTCACTCCCCTTCAGCCTGTCCTTCCTGACCTCCCTTCCCCTTTAGCGACCTTTTGTCCTCAAACAGCTGTTTCTGGGTCAAAGGCCTTCCTGCAGGCCCATGGGTGTGCACTGCCCCGGGGTTAAGAACAAACCCTCCCATGTGAGAGGTGACGCCAGACACCAGTCTTCATTCCAGACAAGGGGGAAAGTGGGGGAGGGGGGGCAGTGCCGGCAAGGTGGGGCTCTCTTTCTGGGTTCTTGGTCCCACTGGAGAAGGGTCTGGGGCCGGAGGACCCAGGCTCCTGCCCCGAGGCCAGGTTTCCCCGGACACAGCTCGGTCTCCAGGGATTTATTTTTGCACATGGTCTGGGAGAATCTCTGTTGCTGGAATAACGACAACCGTTTTTCCCCTTCTCCTTCCTTCCAATAGGCAGATCTTATAAACTAGAGCAGCTGCCTGAAGGTTTCCAAGAGAAAATTCTGCACAGTTTCTAAGCAGAGTGACAGCTCCCGTCCACAGGAAGTTGCTTTTATTAGGGTGCTGGTTGTTTTTTTTCATCTCTCTCTTTTTTTCTCTTTCTCTTTTGTAAGGTTCCATCTATCGGTCATCAGGCAGTACCTTGGGCCTTGTGGCATTTCTGTTTTCCCCCGGTTTGCCTGGAACTCACGATTACATCTAGACCACAGTGGCTTGCTCAACACGGAGGCAGAGTTGAACCGCAGATAAGTGTGTCACTTGCATCGCCTGGACAGAAGAATCCCAAGTCAAGGTCAGCGTCAGTAGTGATAAGCCATGTTGACAGCATGCATCCTTGACCTGATGTGATGAGAATGATCCTTTACCTCCACGGTCTCCCTCCCAAAGCCCATAACCCCAGTTGAACTATGAGAGAAACATCAGATAGACCCCAGTTGAGGACAGTCTACAAAACACCTGACCATCAAAATCAAGGAAAGCCCGGCCGGTGTGGCTCAGTGGTTGAGCGTCGACCTATGAAGCAGAAGGTCAGGGTTCTATTCCAGGTCAGGGCACATGCCCAGGTCGTGGGCTCAATCTCCAGTGTGGGGCATGCAGGAGGCAGGCAATCCATGATTCTCTCTCATCATTGATGTTTCTCTCTCTCTCTCTTTCCCTCTCCCTTCATCTGTGAAATCAATAAAAATATATTTTAAAAGAAAAAAAAAAAACAAGGAAAGTCTCATAAACTGTCCTGCCAAGGGCTGCCTAAGGAGACACGGTGACTAAAAGTAATGCTGTATTCTGGATGGAATCCTGGGACAGATCAAAATGAATGAATCTGAATGAAATGTGGAGTTCAGTTCATCATAAAGGAACAATGTCGGCTCCTCCATTGTGAAAAATGTACCGTAGTAATGACAGATGTGAACAATAGAGGAAACTGGGTCAGGGGTAGATGCACTCACTATCATCACAACTTTTCTGCAAACCTGAAACTGTTCTGAAGTAAAAGTTTAGTTTTTTTTAAGTGGCTCTCACGTTTACATTTCAGGCAATCCCAAGACCCAGTCCCTTTGGTTCCTTTTTTTTGCCAGAATTAAGGATCTGAGCCGCTGACTTTCAGAGTATCCAAGCCACTAGCTCCCACCTCATTTTCATGGCATCATCATTTTCAAACCGGGGAAAACTCACTTCCTTACCATTTCATACCCAATGAGCCTGGCACAGGGCCTGGCCCACAGTAGGTGCTAAGTTAACATCTGTCAAATGAATACAATGCTTGAGGAGGATCTGTAGGAGGGGATCCAAGCAGAAAGCCAAGCTCTTCCCTTCCTAGGCAAAAAGTCCTACCTGCTCGTCTCCATCCATAGAGCGAAGACTTCAGACAATCTGGTTAGAAGGGGGTGGAGACTTCTCTTGACACTGCTTTGGGGAGCAAGCACACAGATTTACTTAGGATTGGATTTGTTGGGTGCTTTGGGGAGCTGATGGAGATAATGAGAAGCAAGCTGACGCCTCCCTCCTCCCCAGCCCTATGGTGATGCCACCACTGCCCCTTAGTACCCTGGGTGTCAGCTCTGGGCTGCCAAAAAACATCTGCAAAGAAGCTTTGGCAGCCAGAACTGTTTGCTAGGTCTTGAAAGTCCATCACTTAGCACATAGTAGGCACTTCACATCTATACTAATAAAAGGGTCATATGCTAATTAGACTGAATGTCCTTCTGGACAAAGCCATGGTGGCAGGGCCAAGGCAGAGGCAGTTAGGGGTGATCAGGACGGCAGGGGAGAGCAGTTAGGAGGATCAGGCTGGAGGGCAGGCGAGAGGTTAGGAGCCAGAGTTCCAGGGTTGCAAGAAGGATGTCCCCTGAGGGGTACCAGATTATAGAGGGTGCAGGCCGGGCTGAGGGACATCCCCCGCTCCTGTGCACGAATTTCATGCACCAGGCCTCTAGTATGTTCATATTGATGGCTACCATTTATTATGCACCAGGTCCTGTGCTGGGAAGGAGAAAGGGGGTTCTGTTTATTTGTGCGGTAGGCATTTTGTCACCCCCGTTTTACAGAAGCCCAAAGAGCTTGAGAAACTGGCCCCAAGGCACAACTAGAAAGCATACCAGAGAAGTTTCCAATCCAAGTCACCTAAGTCCTAAATTCGAGCCCTTTACTCTTGCAGCAGCCTCCTTACAGTCTGCCCCTCCCGCTGGGTCCTTAGGGCCCCGGATTTTGCTGCCTGCTGTCTGCAGAACTCACTCCTTCATCTGGGGCCTCCAGACAGCAGTAATTTTTAAGTCTCTTTCTTTTAAAACTTAATTTGCCAATTTCCCCCTTGGAGGTGCTTTTTGATATTCCTTCAGACTGTCAGCCTGGACAGGCCACAAGCAGAATCCGAAGAGATGGATGCTTATTACAAGCATTCAATTAGTGGCGTTTGAATGATGCAGCCACGGATGCTCCATCCACGCATGGAGGCATGGAGACACCCTCCCCCACCTCGGACTGTTGATGGCCCTTGTCATATGTATTGCTACCTAACCAGATATCCTGCACTTGGTATAATGTGATATCTGCCCAGTCCCCAAAGTGCCTTCTCAACAAATGCTCACCCTGATGTTATAGTGGATGTGTCAGATTTATGTTCTCTTTTGCTGAGTGGAGTCCTCCGGAAAGGCGGACTGGCTTCCCAGGCCGAGATTCCTGCTTTGGCTGACGGGGTGGCCTCCAGCAGGAACATTTTAATACATCACTTATTAAAATGGACCTGGAGCCTCGGCCAAGGGCTCCCACGCTCCCCCCTTCCCAGCAGAGGGCAGCTCAGGGCCTTCGCTGACCACATCAAGCCCTGCCTCCTCTGATCCCTTCTGCAGTTGTCTGCTGTGCAGCATAGCAGGAGAGCCCAGCCTCAAAACAACAAACCCACAAGAGGATCTTTACGGCTGACGGACAGTGGCTGCACCGGAGACTGAGCCCGGGCCTGGGGTCAGATGACTCTGCATCTCCATCCTGGAGCTTGGGCTCTGGGTTCGAGTTCTGTCCCAGCGACCTAACTAGCTGAGTGGCCTCATACAAGCTCCTTCATGTCTCTGAGCCCTGGCTGCTCCTGCACAATCAGGATAATAATGCCTACTTCATAGGGCTATTGTGAGTGGGGTAAACAGCCAAAGCTTAATTCATGTGGATGCCCTGTGGTCCTTTTAGCAAAACCTTTTGGTGTGTTAATTTCCTCCCTGACTAAAGAGAGTTCATGGTGGTGGGTTTCCAGGGTTGCTGGGCCGATTATGTGAAAGGATGGAAGGGCAAGCACTTTGGAATTGCAGTGCTCGGCTCAGGTAAGTGGTAATTACTCCGGGGTGCGAATATGTGTGCCTTCTGAGAGAAGCTTTCCATATGGCTCCTACCCATCTTGGCAGATGGATGGCACACAGAAGGTGCACCCTGTCCCTAACTCTCCGTGAGGCACCCTTGGGCCTTCTCACGGGAAAAGCTGGGCTCAGGTCCCATTAGCTCCAAAATGCTGGGATTCTCTGAGATCAGCAGAGAGCAGAGGCAGGTTCAGGAACAGGGGCATGCATCTGGGAAAATCAATCTCGCCTTCCCGAGTCACCCTGCGGGCACTGCCAATAATACCAGCTTGCCCGTCATTCCTCACAACGGCTGATGGGAGAACCAGCTCTCTGGGGGGCCCTCCTGGGCTCTGGGCCTCCACCGCCTGGGAAGGGGGAATGAGACATCCCCCCTCCCCCACAGGCTGTCTGAAGCCCCCCTTCCTCCCCCACCCCCAACCCCACCCCAAGGCCTGTCTTACCTGATGTCTGAGTCACAGGCAGGCTCCCGTCACTGTGAGCTGTGTTGTGACTCCCAGGCTGACAGTTTTACAACAAACACATTAAAAGCTCCCGGCACTGGGGCTCCTGGATGTGGAACAGACTTTCTTCAGCCAAAATCCTTCTCCCAACCCCTCCTTCCCCAGGGGCCTGCTCCACCGCCATGAACTGCCCTGAACACGAGGGGCCGAGAAGTTTTTTCATAAGGAGCCTTTTTGAGCGGTGGTTGCAGGAAAGCTTCTGAGTGAGGAAGCCTGAGACACCCCAGGCCGTGGACCCCAGAGGACCGACTCATCGCTCACGCCAGGACCAGTGAACTCAGGAAGGAGAGGGGTGAGGGGGGCCTAGCTCTTCCTCGGCCCTGCATTTTCGGACAGGTGGCCCTCGGTAAAGGATTATATGGACATACGATCCTGAGGGCTAGGTATTGTGTTAACCCTCCCAACAACCTGTGCGGTGGGGGCTGCATTATCCCCACTTCACAGATTTCGAAAGGCTTAAAGTGAAGGGTCTTGCTCAAATCCATACAATTAGGAAGTGAAGGAGCTGGGATTTGAGTCCCAGTCTGCCAGCCTCCAAACACTGTTCTTAACAAGACTGCCTCCCTACACACCAGCCCCCCTTCTCTGCACACCCACCAGCGACGGCAGGAACCTCAGGGAGGCAGGGAGGCCCAGTGAAAATCTACACAGTGAATGAACTTGCTCTTTGAACTTGCTGTCCAGCTTGTCTTTCCTACCATTGGAGCCCAGTCCACAGTGCCTCCCACTTTGCCTTTTTGCTTCACAGGCAAAAAGCAAGTCCCCCAGAACCAAAGCAGAGAAAAGAGAGGAGTGAGACACAGGAACAGTTCTTTTATTGTACATCGGAGAAATAGCCCTGTGTGCTGGTTAAAGGTGCAACATACAGAATATCGAATTAAGAAAAGAGGACCAGGGAAGGGAAGGGAAGAAACCTCTTGAGGTCCAAAGTTGCAAACGAAAAGATGGTAAAAGATTTCCTCACGCAAGAGGCATTTTTGCAAATACCATGCAAAACAGGCAGCTGGTGTGCCTTAAGAGAACCCCTATAAATAACAGAAAAGACACTCTAAGCATTCCTTTACGTGGACTCAGAGCACAAAGAAAAAGAAAAGAAACCAAAATGCCGTTTGGCATTTCAAGATATTTGGCACTCTTGTGATTACATTTTGTTTTTTACAGTCCATTAAAGAAAATAAACTGACACAATATCAGAGGAAAAAACAGGCTGCTCACCCAACAGACTGCAGAGAGAGATTAGAAAAAGCTCAAGCATTTTTTTTCTTTGTTTTTGTTTTTGTTTTTTTTATGGTTTTTCTTTCCTGACATAGAAAAATGTTTCCATTTGCATTAACTTGGGCAAATAGCTTGCAGCAAGAAAGAAACACAGCTTTACAGTTCATTTTAGAATAAAACAGGGATTCCTTCTAGGTAGCCATCATTTCTTAGAAAAGTTCTCTTATCTTCAACACATTCCTGATTAACTTTGAAAGAGGACCAAAATAAAACAGAGTATCTATACAGATCATTTTCCGGTATTTTTTTTTTTTTTGTACATCCAAGGATAACAACATAAAAAAATAAAACTGAACAGCATTTCACATCCAAGTGCACAGAATAATTTTTGCAAGACTAAATAATGTAAACATTGGGAACAGCCAAATCAGCGAAGATTGCCACCACCTCAAACACCCGGTGCTGCCGCTTCGCTATTAAAGTGGTTCAAAATCCGGATCTATAATTGCGCAACATTCACTGTATATAAAAAGAAATGGATATTAATTTTGACAAATAGCTGCAACTGAGACTTTATTCCTTTATATGTGTGTGTGTATATAGTGATTTTGTTACTTATTTTTTTAATTTTATTTTTTGCAGAGGAGCCCAGAGCCTTCTCCTCCTCCTCCTCCTCCTCCTCCTTCTCCCGCCTCATCATCTGTCTCCCGGCCTGACTCGACATACAGGCTGTTGATTCCATCGCAGGTAGCAAGCTAGTAATAAATTTCAAAGTGCTTCCTCTCTTCACACGCTTTTTGCCAATAACTGTTAGCGCCGTTCTTATTCTTAGCCTCACCCTTAACCCATTGTCTTGGGGGAGTTAAATACCAGGAGGTGCCTTGTCTGTCATAGTTTTCAGCACGTCATCAATCCTATCATCTTCAATAACAACTGCAAAAAACGGGGGGAGAAGAGGAAGAGTGAGCGCGCTGGGCCTCGCCAGGGGTCTCGGTTACTCGAGCGGGGGAGGGGGGATTGGAGGAGGGCAGGGGGAGGGTTCCTCGCGAGCAGACACAGCCCTCTCCTCCCGGGCCTCCGCCCAGGGTCCCTCTGTGGCTTTCCTCTGAACCCCTCCCCCCACCCCACCCCCTGGCTGTGTCCCAGCTCAGTTCTAAGAAAAGGAATCAGAGAGAGGGCGCAAATCGCGCAGCCCCTTCTGCTTCCACCCCACCCACCTCACCCGCGGGGGGGGAGGGGGGACAGTAATTTAGAAGGAAGGCTCCAGGTCAGAAGAGGGAGGGGAGGAGAAGCCAAGGTCTCCGGGTCTGGGACCCTCGGGGACGCTCCAAGCGCGGCGCGGGTAGCCCAGACTGGGCGAGGCGGTGCTGGGAGGGAGAGCGGACGCTGGGGGCCGGTTCCCACGGCGCGCGGCGGGTCCAGGGATCCCGGGACCCGCTCCGGAGCGTACTCGGCCCCTCCGCTTCCCCCGCCGCTGCCTCCCGGGTCTCGCCCGCCTCTCCGCGCCTGCCTCTCGCTGCGTCCCCCGCCTCTCTCTCCATCCCGACCCGGCCTCGCCTTCCCCATTCCCTTTCTCAGTCTCTCCGCGCACCAGTCACCTGTCGGGATCTCTGGGGCGCTCTCTGCATCTGGGGTGCCGGCCGCCCTCCTTGTTTCAGCGGCTTCTCTGCCCTCCCCGGAGCCAGCGTCCCCGTGCACAGTCTCTCCCGCTCTGGCTCCCTCTCCCGAGCTTTGTCTCGGTCTCACCCATCCCGGTCCCCACCCCCACCCCCACCCCACCGGCCGGCTCCCTCCCTGTCTCCGCGCCTCGGTGTCTCCCGGCTGCTGCCTGCATCCTCGTTGTGCACACGCCTCGGGACCTCCTCTCGGAGCCACTCGGTGTCCCTGTGTCTCCGGGCTTTCCCAGCTCTCGCGCCCAGCGCCCAGGCTCCGCCAACTCCCTCCCCCAGAGTCACAATGGAAGCCCGAAAGCGCCTAGACTTCCCCGCAGGAATAGGGTCCTCTCTCCGCACTTCCCCACGCGTCCCCTGGGGAGTCCTGGGACACCACCGCCCAGGTGCAGAGCGACTACACTGCGCAAAAGAGGGGGGGTGGGAGATCAAACAGCAAACTTCGGTGCGGGTGGGGTCCCGGGAAAGCCTCCAGCCCCCGCTGCAGCCAGAAGCGCCACGCCCCCTGGGTGACCCCACCGGGAATCGGGCGGAGGTGGAGGGAGCCCGCGGCAGCTGGAGCCGAACCGCAGTGCGGGCTCCCCCAGTTCCGCACGAAGGGGGTTCCACTGGGTCGGAACGGGCTCCCGGGTGCGGGAGATCCTCGCACACCGCCGCCAGGCCCCCGTGCCCGAGAAAGGGGGTGCCTGGGGGAGAGGGCCGCCCACTCACCCCGCTTGCTCCGGCCGATCTGGCCCAGCTTGGGCGGCCGCTTGTTCTGCCCGGCGGCGAAGAAGTTGTTGGTGTCCTGCAGGCGGCTCAGCTTCTCGTCGCCGTAGGGCAGCACCTCCGACATGGCTGCGTCCGGGGGCTCTGCGGCGGCGGCGGCGCCTCCTCCGCCCGCGTCCCCGCCCGCGGCGGACAGGGTCAGCGGCGCTGGGGCCGGGGGCGGCCGGCCGGGGACGGCCCGCGGGCTGCGGCGGCGGCGCCGGCGGGAGGCAGGGGGCGCCGCTAGGGCAGGAGCGCGCGGCCCGCCGGAGCGACCCGGGGAGCGCCCGCCGCTGCGCTGCGCTCCGATGGGCGCGCGAGGGGCTGCTGCTCGGGCGGAGCAGAGCCGGACTCACATCCTCGGCCGGCGCGCTCGCTCGGGCGCGGGGCTGGAGCCGGCGGGCGGGGCGGGAGCCGGGAGGAAGGGGGGTCCCAGCGAGCCCCGAGGGCGCGGGGCCGAGCGGGGCGCACTCCGGAGCCGGCGGGCTGGTCCTGCGTGCGGGCGGCGGCGGGCAGGTCCGGGAGGCTGACTGGGGAGCTGAGAGCAGCGGGTTGGTGAGGGGCGGAGGGGGAGGTGGAGAGAAGGGAGGGAGGAGGGAGGACACGAGGGGGGGGTACCCGGAGGGAGGGGGCGGGGAGAGAGCAACCGAAAGGGAGACGCGGAGAAAAACAGAGACCGGGAGGGAGGGAGGGAGGAGAGAGAGAAAGAGGGGAGAAGAGAGGCGAGAGGAGCGACTAGGTCAGCATCCGAGAGGCCGCGGCCAGGGAGGAGCTGGGAAGGGAGAGGAGCCGGGGGGAGGAAGGGAGGGCGCGGAGGGAAGCTGGGGAGCGAGCGAGCGGAGAGGGCGCTGGGGCTGCGGAGCCCGCTGCGAGCCAGCAATGCCGGCCGGGGAGGCGAGGCCGGGAGGAAGCCGGGGAGGCGAGGGGAGGGGGCCGGGGCCGCGGGGAGAGATCCCTGGAAGCCGAGCGACGTCACGGGGCCGCGCCGGCCGGCCCGGGCCGCGGCTGGCTTCCTGCCCCCGCCCCCAGCACCCGGCGCCCGCCCGCGCGGAGGGGCCCCCCCGCGAGCCCCGCCCTGGCCCGCGGCCTCCGGCACCCCCTCCCCTCCCCCCGCGCTCCCTCCCGCGGGTGTTTACCCGGCCCCGAGCCGGGACTGACGCGGCGGCTCCGCGCGGACCCGCCAGCCCCGCCGCCTGCGGGGAGCCGGGGGGACTGGGGCTTCCGGGAGCGGGAG